ATTTTCAGCACAGTTTAAGCAAAAATTAACAAATCAGATTTAATAAATCTTTTAGCGTATACTCATTTGGTAGATGGTTAATGTTTTGCACGGAACATTTTATACAAATGTGCTACTCATGAAAGACATCAAAACCTTTAATGCAGTAAACTCGTTGCTTATTAAAACAACTCACACTGAAAGTTGGCATTTATCATCATTTCTGATTTGATTAATAAGTGAATGATTAGCTAAAGATAAGTAATTATGATAATAAAAGGAGAACTACTCCTGCCATTTTTTCACCATAATATCAAAGCTCCGATTCTCATCTAATGTCAATTCACTTATCTTTGAATATATTTGTTAACATATTTATTGAACATATTATTTGCTTCACCATTTTATTCATTAAAAACAACTATAATCTTTAAAAAAAAAAAAAAAAAAAAAAAAAAAGCCACTACCCCTGAAAGCTTTCAGATTTATTTTAAATTACGCCTAAACTGACGTTTTCTTCATTTAAAGACACATACATATTTCGAGAGCATTTGGGCTAACGCCACTTCGGACTAAAATATTTAAAAACAGCATACCTTTAAAATTCACCGATAGACAGTCTCGCGCTGGTGATAAAAGTGTTTTATTCTCTACAGTGTTGCCATTGCTCGCTTTGAAATTGTTGAGTTTTTTTTAGTCAAAAATTCGTTAAAGTTTTAAAAAACATGAAATAGACCACAAAACTAATTTCAAATTTCAAATTCGGGCTTCCAAGTACCCATGTTCGGGTGGAGGATTATGTTATTCAAACTTTGATGCCTCTAGGTACGCTTGTTTTTTCACAGTACGAAAAAAGACACACATTTATGCAGATTCTTCATTATTTAGTTCCTTTAAATATAATACAGAGCGATAATATTTGGTGGCAACAATTTGAAAAGTGATACATGGCATTTAAGTGATTGAATGCAAAATGCTCTTTCCAGACTAATACCCTTTTTGGGCTAACGCCACTTTGGGCCAATAACGACTATAATATTTTGATACTATTTATAAAGGCGAAATCAATAAGTGAGGAGAATAAGTAAGGGAGGAATAAATGACAGAGGGAGGGAATATTAATTTCGTAATTAGAGACATTTAACAACTGAATTTAATTAAACGCTCTGAATAAACAAAAAACGTTTCAAAATATGTTTCAGTATTAACAGTTTTGGAATAAACCATAATAAAAGGCTTTTAAAGACTTTTCTTCTATCGAGAATAAAAGAAACTTTCGATTTCAGAATAAATTATGAGCAATAATTACTAATTCCTTTTTCTTTCTAATAGAAAGAGTACCATTACCCCCTTTTTTTTCGTGCATTCCGAGAGTCGGTTATCGATTCATGCATATTAAGGTCACGTTTCTTGTTTAAAGTTTCAATATTATGTTCCTGGATACCCCATTATAATAATTTTGCTTGGAATCAATACAAAATCAGAACATTTCACTCTTGAAGATGAGTATTGTAAGAATTAAACTGGGAAAAGACTTGAGCATGACTTTTTCTTCTTGAAGAAAAAAATTCCTATTTATTACCAAGTTTTCGTACAGCGTTTTCTCTGACAAAGGTATTTTTAGGTAATTTTTAACACAAAAGTCAACTTTTCCCAATGTCCCTCTAATGTAATGGCCAGCACATCAAGTTAGCAGCTGAAAGGACTTGAATTCAATTTTCGTCAAGGGTGTAGAGACATTTTTTAAAAGCAGGAGATATAAAAAAATGAGCTCCGGGACGGACTCGAAGCACGGATCTCTCGAATACGCGTCGAGCGTGCTCACCACTACACCACGAAGGCATACAAAAAGGCGGGAGGAATACCTTATATAATCTCCCTTTTAAAGGGCGATTGGGGATTAGGGAAGCCAATCGCTAAATCCTGGCCGTGGAGAATCATCATCCATCACTTTTTGTTTTAGTTTGTGCGCCACTGTAGAGACATTGGGTATTTTTTGAAAGCAGTTGAGATGAAAAATGAGCAATGTCCTTTGTCCTTTCCGGGACTCGAATCACGGGCCTTTCGAATACGCGCCGAGCGTGCTGACCACTACACTACGACGGCATGCTAAGGAGGCAGGAGAAATACCTTATAAGGGATTTTAAGATTTCTGTTCATGAATCTATATTTTTAATAATTTACATAATAAAAATGGAATAAGTAGGATTTTGCAAAATTTATAAGGTTTAGAGAGCAGAGAATTACTACATGGATTACAGGATTTGAAACGAACCTTAATATCCCTTTCTGATTTTAGAATTACACATATTAATTTTTCAAAACATTATGATGAGCAGGATCTTTAAGGTCTGAACCGGGAAAATTAATTCATATTTCCAAGCGATTCTTTTCTAGAACAGAATGATTTCTTTTGAGCACTGAAATCAACTCTGAGATGGGAACTACCCACAGTGTCTTTTCTTCACGACCTGGCATATTTTACTGATCGTTTTTACAAGTAGGTTAGAAGGAAGTTAAGGTCAAGGTCAAAAAGAGTGTGGGTACTGAATGGAACACTAAACGGATTTTCTAGTAAATATTTTTTCCTATTATTCCCATTTTTTAATGGGAAGCGGATCCAGTACGCCTACGTAAAAGCTAAAGGGGATGTGTAAGCAACATGAATTTATTTTGGACCAATGATACGTGGCTCACTTTTTACATATTCAAAAAGATAAATACATTTTCTCTCCCATCTGAATATGCGTCAGTTTTTAGCTCAAAAGAGACTATTGCTCTAGAAATGGGATTTTGCATTGATTCACTATAAACGGTGTATCAATTTCCAAATTGTTGCTACCAAATATTATCGCCCTGTATTATTTTAGCGAAATTATATAATAATAATTTAAATAAACATATATTAAAATAATTAGATGTCCAATTAGAACTATTCAATACTTTTATGGAATTACAACTCATGCGGTCATTAAAATCATTATATACATTTTCTTTTTTATGATAATTATTTTAGGCCGCTGCCTGAGCGAGCGGCTAGTTTCCAAAGAAATAATGTAGTGAATTTAAAACTATGTATGACAACCTCTAACCCTCTAACGGGAATTTTAAAGATATGCTCTTTTTAAATATTTTGTGATTTTGCTGTTGAATAGAATTTTATATGGCGTAGGTGCAGAGAGCATGATATTTAACAAATAAAGTTAACACATAAATAGTTAATAATAAAAAGGCAAAAGAAATTGTTAGAAAATTATGCTTCATAAAGCTAAAAGGACAAATAAATGGATAAATAAATAAAGGTTTATCAACTGTGAGTGCAAGTGCAGACTGGGGGACTCTAAGCTCAGCGAAAGCATAAAATACCTTAACAAACCCTTTTAAATGACCATTAAAATCTGAAATCTCTCAGACTTTTTAAAATTTATTTCTTGGTATCTTTATACAAAATTGACTAAAAATTAAAATACTTCTTGAAGGAAGCAAATATGAATCAAAAGGCAAAGTGTTAAGAGGTGGTTGCGAGTTCTCAAAAAATATAATAATAACGACTATACTAACGACGCAATTAATAATATATATTGCTGAATACGGTCTTTTTGGTTGCACTTGTAAATACGAAAACTAATGCCACCGAAAGGCAAAAAAATATTCAAGAGAAAAATATCTTCAAAGATTTACCAAACGTTTCCATTCAAATTTTAGCAATATTAAGTTTCTTTTCGAAAAATGGCAACAAACTTTTGTTGTAATCATCAAAGCCATCAAATAATGATAAGTTCATTATTTGATGCTGAATATTTAGAATACTTATCATATTCCTACTCAGATAACCGTCCTTGACTAAAATAATAATTTTTTCTTTGCAAATTCCATTTCAAATTCTATTAATTGACAATCAATTAAAGGTCTATCCATGACGATTCATCAGAAATCTTTTCGAATTTTTTATGGATTGAAATAAAATTATGTAATCGAATTTTATGCATAATGAAATAGTACAAATATTTTGAAATTCTATGAAAAAGGTCATAAATTTTCTATAAAAAGCACAGATTATTTTTCTGGGAAATTATTAAAATTCTATTTTTAACCGTATATTAAACAAAACATATAAATATTGTATTGAATTGGTGAAAGTTATGTCTGTTAACTGTTACAAATTAACATCAGATTAAAATCTAGTAAAAAGTGAAGTATGCGCGTAGTTTTGACTTTGAAAATGCTTAGGCTTTAAGTTTGTTTCGCAGCTTCTTTTGATATATTAACTAAAGCTAATACATAAAGACCTATTCCAGGTTTTTAACAGTGAAAATACATTTGCCTCCGATTCCAAATTTAAGTGCACTCTGCACTATTATAATGAACTACATTTTAAAAATTAACATGAAATATTTTCTTTTACTTATGAAACAAATTAAATTTACAAATTATTAGTTAATCTTTTTTAAGATCATATGCATAGTATTTCACTTTAAAGTAATACTTTATTTAATCAAATCTTACACATTATTATGAAATAAAGTTAAGCCCGAAAAGTGTTAAAACCTTTTCCAGAAACTGTAAAGTTTTTTCCTTTAAAGAAATGTGAGTAAATACTTGTTAAAATGCTACTTAAGGGAAGGGATGCCTTTCGTGGAGGACTTCTTAAGAGGAACAGGCTCGTATACACGTTGCACATGGAAAAGACCATAAAAACGGCCATACAGCCAACCCCTTTCGCCGAGATTCGAACCCTGGACCGAACTACCAGCGTTCAGCGATTTTACAACTCGGCCACTGGTGGGCTCCATAGTTAATGTAACAGTTACATGAAGTATCTGAGAAACAAATTTACATATATACCGACCTAGCATTTAAGGCAGAATATGCTATATGTTTAAGGTATATTTGTATATAGTGAAAGCATCTGAAATAGCGTAAAATTGTATAAAAAGCATTTATAAATTCACAAATTAATAAATTTCAAATAAAATAAAATTCCAGATGACAAGTTTTATACCGTATATAATCATCCTATGTGATGAGAGTGAAATTCTTTTATTATTATTCTCTAATGACTACAATATGTAAAATAAAATAAAATATATATTATACAATATGTTTCTCACTTTTAATCACTTGGATATACTATTTTTCACACACGTTTTACAGTGTAGATACATAATAACTATTTTTATTCCTCACACATGTGCAGTATTTAAATTAATCAGTTTTCAAGAGATATTCTAATTTCTTAGAAAGAATCCATTGTAATTTTTCTAGTAACTATATACAATTCTTTGCTAACCAAAATTAATTAATAAAATGAATGCACACATTTAAAAGAAAATTACGTACATATTTTAATATATTAAATCATAATTCTGTTAAAAAAATTTCACAATTTTCCACGAAAATGGAATTTTTATTCACAGGACGTTACTTTTACAATATTCAAAATGACACAGTTTTTCTTTCTAACTACATTCATTAGAAGGATAAAAAATAAGCTAACTATAAAAACACAACAGAACATACATAACTGCAAAATTTCATTTACATAAATCAGTTAAATGTCCTTTACTGAAGATTCCGATGATCAAGTGAGTTCAGAAATAATCAAAATAATGTTCGTGACATTTAATGAATTACTTTTCCTACCAGAAAAATGATTGCTTAAATTACAATCAATTCTACATATATTTCTTATTCAAAACTAACTGAAAGTTCATCATTAAAGACATATTTTTGATATACAGAAATGAAACAGATTTTCATTTTAACTATGATTATGCATTGTTTAAACAAGAATTTTGATCAAACTCTATTAATGAAATTTCTGTACAATTTTTGTGCAGTAATAAAATTAGATGCTTGAATAATGACATAGATTGTAATTCAAATGATATATGATTTCATATAAACGACAAATGATTTCATATAAACGACAATTATCCAATTATTAATTTAAAAAATAGAAATTTTTAATCTAGTTGTATGCATGAAGTTTCTGTACAATACTTATGTAGGAATACAGTTATTTCAGAAGCTTAAAAATTCATTTACATTACTTTCAGTTTTACTGATAATCAAAGCAAATATAGCACAAATGTAAATAACAAACCGCTGTAAATAATTAATTCCACAAGTAAATTGTCATATAAAACAGAAAAAGATGGATATTAAAATATCAAGCTTCCTCATTTAAAATGGAAAGGAAATTTAATTTTAAAATTGTTCGTAACTATTATGTTATAGTTTTGACACGTAAACTTATTAGTCTGCACAAAAAAAAAAAAAAAAAAAAAAAAAAACTTACCTCACTCAGCTGCATCATATTTCATTTCGATAATTAATTATTTTTGTTTCTGCAATCTCAGAAATATTTTTGTTTGTTTCTCGAGTTCAAGGCAACATATTTTCTGGAAGTTTCGAATTGTCTTGAACTTCACATGGTATGCACAGTTTTTATCTCTTACCGAGAGTCATAGAGTCCGAAAATTCGTATAAAATACAAGGATGAAAATATTCTTCACATTACTTAAAAGTCCGACACTTTGCTGCTGCCATTTCCAGCACCATTTCTATTATTTATATAAGGTTTAGGCTGCATCATGAAACCTACTTGCTGGCCTTTTTCTCCAGTGTGGTGATGATTTCGATGTCTCGTTCTTTGCACAAGAAAGATGCAGAGTAAAATACCAAGAATTATAACAGGTAAGATTATTCCTAAGGATATTCCAATTACCTTCTTCGCGTAGTCAGCTTCACTGATACACTGTGGATCGACACCCCAGCTCCAGAGACCCGTTTCGCGACATCTTCTGTTCTCATAACCAACAAGGCGGTACCCATCATCGCAAGTGAATCGAACAGTTGTTCCAACGTAGTATCGAATTTCACTTTTTCTGCCATGCCTGGGCTTGCTGAGTTCTGGACATCGCACTATATCCTTCCTGACATCCGAGGCTAATTTCTGAGCATAATTTTCATGATTCCGAGTAGCCCAAGCAAATTCTCTGTCACCAGTCACGATAAAATCAAATTTGCAAGAAACTGATGTACTACATAAAGCGTCGACTTCCTCAGGTCTATAACTGAAGTTTTTTGGTATTGGTGGGGGTGTCTGGTATTCTGGTACGAAAGAAATATTATCATACTGTGAGAAAGGTATGGCATTATGGAAGAAAAGGGATCTTCCAACTTTGCTGTTTCCCAGCTCAGATACACGGTATGCCATTCCGAATTTCTGATGAATATCGTAAGTTGATGAATCTGGTGATATGTAAGAATCCCCTTCTGGGGAAATGAAATCGTCATCTTTATTTCTGGACCACATTCCCAACAGTCCTCTTGTCTTATTTATAAAGGAAACAGGTAAATAAACATGAGCTGCCATGTGACCATTTTCCACCATTACTTCAACACCTGCGCCTGAGTCAAACATGGCTACAATATGAGACATGTTGTATACGTTGGCCGGTTGGAACAAAGTTACTCCTTTGAAGTACTGTACTCGAAGACTGTTGTCCCAAAAATAGACATATTCGTTGTCTACGATGATGTACATATGATACTGCCATCTGGCTGGAGCCGGTCGAACACGAAACTCTACTACAGAAGAAATGTTGTCTTTTGCAGCAATAGCCATCAATCGTGTACCATTTATTGGTGGACTGAAGTGGTATTTTGGTACAGGCTGCTCGAATCTCCCTTGTACATCCAATTTATGTAGTCTGTGATTAACTCTTGTTAAAACAAATTCGCCTTTTCCATTGAAAGTGTAGTTTACACGATCAAAAGTCACAAAATGGGGGTCTCCATAAACAGATCCCACTCCTGGAGTTTGGTAAAGGGAACAATCTTGAGAAGTCCTCCAGTATTTAAACATGTCACATGTTTCAGCATCATCTTCCCCGTCTGCCCACTTGCAACAAAAGAAATAGGGTGAGACATCATGTAGCCAGTATGATAGAGCTGGTATCATCATCCTTTGCTTGAAGGGATGCTTTCCAAATTGAAATGCTCTAGCTGGTCTTCCTCCATACATCGTATCACCAGTCCTTATGAGTTCACCGTGGTCATCATAACAACATAGCTGTCCTGCCCCACCTACAGCTGGTCTTCCAGATCGAACGCAGTGGTAAGCAGATTTGTGGAATGTTTCACATTTCCGATCAATTTCATTACATTGAAGGTCTGGAGCGAATCTTCCTCTGTCGAGTTTTGCCTGGGCTACAGTGCAAGGACAACGAAAAAGAGTGATAGCAAAACGATCGCTGTACTTCTCTCTGAAGTACCAATCTTCACAAATTTCTTTTTTCCAATTTTTGCCGTACTTTCGATGCCACTGATGACGGAAATACCAGGCAAGAGGCAAAGGACCTGACCATAGCACAGGAGATTGGCGAGAGCCATCTCTCAGAATTTCTGGCTCGGTGAGATTGATAGCAATGAATCCAAAATATATGTCCAGTTTATCCCAGTTCCAGCGATTTTTATAAACATCTAAATCAAGACTGTATTGGCGAGCTCCACTGATAACTGTATCCTCTGTTAATAAATCGATGTAAGTTAGTCTCGGATAATTTTCATTTGACTCTCTGTATCCCCATAGCGCTATAGTTACAGGAGCTCTTTCATCCATTGTTAATTTTTCATGCTTCCATTTTACTGTGAAGCGCTCTGGGGCTTCTTCTTTGTCCTTACGGTCTAAAACATTTACATCAGCTTCCACCATATCTGGAGGCTGAACATAGTATCTTGCATAAAAAAGGAAAGGACCATTATCTACTGACACTGATAAATCAACATAACCATGGTACATGACTGGAGGGGAAATGCAAGATACATGGTTCTGATCCCTGTAAATGCCATCAGTTTCAAGGGTGTCGAATTTGCAACGAATGATACTACGAGGGTCTGAAAAGCATGGTCCAGTTACATTCACCATTGTACCCCCTAACATACTGCCGTAACGTGGGAAAAAGGTAAGCTTTGGCCTTGTTGGCCAGTTGACATCCAAAAGTCTTTCGATGCAGCATCCAGGCCATATTTCTTCGTCGACTTGAAAATAAAATCGACCATGCAAACCATTTCCGAATCCTAAGGAGGGTAGCCGGCTTACTCGAGGCTGTTGAGAATAAGGCTCAAATTCGTATGCTCTAGTTCTATTTCCAGCATTGAAACCTATGAACGGAGGAATACCTTTTTGCCCATCGTAATTGTCCTTGTCCGATATCCAATTAATAGCATCGTAATTGAACATAACATACGTTCTTTTTTCATCAGTTGCGATAACAACCTGATAGGTATTAGTTTTTAATTGACTAGTAGGCATCCGGTTAGCATGCGTAACATTTCTCCACGTAACGATGAGGGCATATGTAGGTTCAAAATCTGCGGAACCTATCATAGCATCTTTGAAATCAAGCCTGATTCTTTCTTTCAGGTGTTCATCGTTTTGACTAGCAAGGTTGATCAACTGTGAATACACACCCGCTCCTTCTATTGAATTTGGAATGTCCTGATAACTGAACCATGGTGCTATAAGAGAAGGATCTTCTTCCCTAGATGGATCTCTTATGAAAGGTGTGGGAAATTTTACTGGGGATGGATATTCAAGAAGGCCTTTGTTAAAAAGAATATAACCATCTCTGTGTATCCATATATACCTGAAGTCAAATCCAAAGAAAGGTAAACGGAATATTAAAGGAGTATCCCTTATAGCTTGACCTCTGTTGATTGTATCAATCAGATACTCTCTGTCATGAGGATATAGCAGCTCAGAACGAAATTTTTTCATGTCTATGAAAGTTGGAGCTCTTAAAGGAGCATTATTTTCTCTTGCTTTCCCGGCACTTTGGAATCTTGCAAATTGTATGGAACACGCAAAAACGAACATCCAGAGAAGCTGCGCCATTTTGGAAAAATATAAATGGCGCTAGCGTAAACAGGCGTCGTCACTTTTCACTGCGTTACCATCGAATGACGCGAACTTTGTTCTCAGGTATCGCACCTTATCAGCATACCTTACTGATAACAGACATATTCATGATTCTGCGCTGGAAAAGAACCGTTAAGTTTCCTCTTATATTTGTTCTTTCTAATCTTGAAAAGGAGAATTGCATACCATATTTGTGAGCGCAAGATTGCAGTATAAATCTGATAAAAATGTTCTTGCTTGACGTCACCTGTATTTGATTTCTGGGAAAAGGAAGTGGTTGAGCATTCTTTTTAAGAGTAATCTTAAGGTGCGTAGAAAGAAACTATGTTAATGAAACAAATAATATTTGCAGTAAAGAAATTCACAAAACACGGTTTAGTTTTTAAAATAAGAAATATATAACAGCCAATGAAAAGAGAGCGAGGAACTATCTCAAATAACTCTTTACTAACATTAAGTGACACATTATTTTGTGTTCCGAGTGGCTCTCCTAGGGGTCAAATCCTGAAGTATGTATGGGTGCATGGGTATTTTTCGCAGTTTTCAGGATAAGTAGTGCAAATACGTGGCAAATCTCTTAGAAAGTTCTCCATGAAGGCACCCCGCCGAAGCGAGATAGTAACCGTGTGCTTTGCTCAATACTCAGTAAAACAGCCTGACCCACACTATTTTGTTGACAATGACGCAAAGGTAATTTAATGGAATAAAAATATAAAGTGACAAAATTATAAAGAACGAATAAAAAATTTTCTGTAAAATGGGATACCAAGAAGAGAATAAAAGAAGGCGTTTTTAAAATTAGCAATTTTTTTCAAATAGCTCTATAAATAACGCTTGAGAATTTTTATACAGCAATTAAAACACGGATGTACTCAATTTTAAATTCAAACTTGCCAAAAAAGCATATACATATATTAATTATAAACTATCTTTCTTCTCAACAATTATCAAGAATATCATAATACCTCAACAATATCTCAACAATCATAATCTCTCAATATCAATTATCAAGAATATATAATAATCTCAACAATATCAATTGATATTATTATATCACAGTCACTAAGCTTTACATTTAGCCCAAACGGCATTAGCCCAGAAGGCTATTAATTTCGTTTTGGCATTTTGGGTTGAAAATTTTAAATGTCCATTTAACTTTTCAAATTGTTGCCAAATATTATCACGCTGTGCTGTATTTAAAGAAATTAAATAATGAAGAATCTGCATAAATGTATGTACGTTTCTCGTATTGTGATAAAACAGCGGTACCTAGAGCCATCCAGTTTTGAATAACGTAATCCTCCACCGAATATGGGCATCTGGAAGCCCTAACTTGGAATTTAAAATTTGTTTTATTTTCGATTTTATATTTAGTAACAATTTAACGAGTTTTTGATTAAAACGCTTAAAGATTTCAAAGCGAGCAATGGCAACAATGTACGAAAAACAAATTATCTCCAGCGGGCGAGACTATGTATCGGAAATTCTAAAGATATGTTCATTTTAAAATTAATTTGCGATGTTGCTGTTGAATTGAATTTTATGCTTCAAGTGCGAAGAGCATGGCATTTAATAAATAAAGGTAAAACACAAAACGTTTAAAAAAAAATTTGGGCTTAATGTAAAATCTGTAAGCTTTTAGATTTTAATTTTTTTCAGTATGCTCTGACAATTCATCATAGCTAAATACCCACTTCAAGAATGCTAATTTGTCGTGAAAAATTATCTTCTCAGATGAACCTTGTTTATACTTGAATGAGTATGTTAACAAGCAAAACTGTTGTTTTGGGGTGAAAGTAATCCACAAGAGATGCGTGAGAAAACTTTGCCTTCGGAAAAGGTTACTGCATGAAGTGGGTTATGGCATAATGTCATCATAGGACTATCACCTCGTCCCTAAAACGGACTAGGAGATGCAGTTACAGTGTCTAATGAGTAATACCGATTAAAGGTAGCAAATGTTTTGTGGCTAAATTTGGAAGACATTAATTTGGGGGTCATGGTGTGCCACATTTCACACTTTCAGTATAATTTCACGAAATGCAACTGTTAGTGGGTATACCATAATTTTTATTTTAACTCTTCCACATTAATTTTGTGGGATTATTTGAAATCAATAATCGATGCAAACAACTACGAAACCTTAAAATTTAAAGAATAAACATCGAACACTGCTTCCTGACACTAGGCCCTGGTTATAGCATACAATAATCGAAAATTGTGTTTATCGAATTCACTCGTGTGTAGTAAGACGAGATGGACATTTAAGTGATGTTTCATTCAAATTTAGTGTCACTGTATTTAGTATCTGAAATAGAATTTCATTTTATTCTGAAATCATATCATTCTAACTGTAAGACCCTTTATTATAAAATACTTCACAGAGTTTGACTTTCTTATGGGAGCTTAAATGAGCACCAAACTCCTAACAGATGTTAAGGGAATTATTGTTTTTTCTGAAAAGTACTACAGAGGCTTTGAAAAGGTTTAAAACAAACGTTTTTAATAAATGAGAACTTGAACACAAATGCACATCTCGTGCTTGGGAAGAACTGCCACCACTTGTGCCGATATAACTTACAGTCATTTTCAAAGTTAAACTAGTCTATTAATCAAAGACTGATTTAACGCGAAGTTGGCTAAAAACCTCTCACCGGCGTAAGAATTTAAATGTCGGCAGCAATAACGCAAAAGTGAAGAATTACAATCTTATAGAGCTGGCGAACCTAATACCTGGCTTCGAGAGGCAGAAACAGGCTCTGTTAATCCAAAACCTTTGATTTCACTATTCTTTAAATGATTTGCATTCTGGTCAGGAAACGGAAAAGAGAAGTGATAGTAAAGCTGAAACTATAAAAAATTACTGGTTAAATAAAATGATAATAACCCTAAAACTTTAAATTATGTAAATGCTATCAAATAGTAATAAATTATCTTGTTCATTTGAACAGATTAATAACAACGAGGTTTCAAAATAAATAATTAAACCTTCCGTTTAAACCGTTTAACCTTCCGTTCCTTCTATACTTCCGTCAACAAGAGGATAAAATTTAGAAGTCCACCAACAAAAATCAGAGTTATATTTTCAAATTTCACATGATTAGTTTCGATGGCTTTACCGAACCATCATCCTCAGCTGCAAAAGCGTAAATAAATATTTCAAATGTGAAATTTGAAAATATAACGCTGATTTTTGTTGTTTGACTTCTAAATTAATATTTGTTCGGCGTGTTATTGTATCTTAATTAAAGAGGATAGAATATTTACAATAAATTTGAATTAGCCACATTGCTTTCGCGATGTACTTTACCCATCAATTATTGTTTTGTTATAAAATTTGTGACCTCGTAGAAATTTTGAAACGAATAAAATTCAGAAAAACCAGATTTCGAATACTAAGAAATTAAAGCATTAAAATAAAATAATATTTTTATACTGCTTTCAGATGAAAGGACTAAACGAACTTTAGGATACAAACTATGGTGAGTCTCTCTTCATTAGAAACAGTCTTTGAAGACTGTTTAAATAATTTGCTTTTCACTGCAAATTTTGGAATTTTAGGTATATTACAAAAATTTTTTTATATTTTTGCTGAACTTAATTTATTATCCTTTGTGAATCTTTTACTTCGTTTAAAATCTAAACTGATCAGATAGTAATACGTATATTTAAATATCTGTATCTAAAGAAAATTAAACATGAAAGATAAAATATAAAAACAGAATTGAAGTTTTAACCATAAAAAACAGCAATAAGATAAAACAGTCAATATAAATTTAAGTTAGATTGCATAAGGAATTATTTAATAATGTGATAGTTGATCATCCACGAAATTATCAAATTTGAAATAAATTACAAGAAAATTCCAGCTACGTGAATGTTGAAATAAAAACAAGTACCGCTCAGAAGTAAGCCAAAAAAATTCACAATGAGATTTTTATTTTAGGGGAAATATTTTGTATTTGTTGTTGTTGTTCAGCAAACATATACGAAGCTTAAATTCTTGAACACCCCTTATAAATAAAAATGATTGTGAGAAAAATGCTTTTTCGTAGACAATTTTATCGTGGGACACGGAGGCATAATTTTCATTACGTGCAATAAAGTATCACTAACTCATATTTCGGTGGACCGCATAACGAACATAGCAAAAGAGAATAATTGTTTGGAATGCAAATTTCTAATGGTACATTTTACATAAAAAAGTAAGCATACATTCTTAATTACATTTCTTAGAAAGTAAAAGTTCAAAGTTTTGCAATTAATGAAATTCACTTTCTATAGGATCCTTAAAATCTATGTTATCAACCTCAGGTGAAAATTACTTTAAGCCATATAATTTCGATTTAAAACTTCTTTTTTCCCAAACCAATTTTATACATTACAAAGCTTATAATATGGAGTAACTTCCAAGTTGTAAATCTTCCTTTGCAAAAGAACCAAATAAAAATCCATATATTTTTAATAAATCCAATAAATACGTTAATATTTCACGGGATCAAACTTAAGCCAGTCTTAAACCTTGTTTGAGTCTTTTCCTTAGATACAACCATTAAAATGGAGCACAAAATAACAAAACAACTAAAATCAACATAAATAAATTTTATCGAGTTTGTCCGGTTTATTTCGCATTTAACCTGACTATATAAATGGTTTATTTTTTTATGACCGTGTTTTGTAATCGTTGCTTCTTTCTATTTTGGTAATCGGAAATAGAACTTTCGCTATATTTATACTCATCTTTAATGATATTAATTCATCTCTCTTTTTACACAACTGGCGGAGCAGCACGCACGTTTTGCTTCTATGCAATATTTCAGCCCTTATTTCCAAAAGCGGAGGTAATTTCACTTTATTTTTTAATACTTTTTAGCTGCTTGCTCATTACGAGCTTTTAAAAAGTTCACAGGAATAGCATTTCTGTATTAAATAACAGTTGTTGCTTTATTTAAGAGTTGCTTTATTTAAGAGTATTTAAGAGTTGTTGCTTTTTCCCTTTAGTCTTCACGCTTGTACTGAGACTTCGAGTGGAATTCGGAAAGTTTTAATCGATAAATAAAATGCATCATAATTGCAAGGACCTCTAGCACTTAGTTTAACCTTTGGTAATATTCTCTTGCGCCTAACCCTCTTTATTTATTTAAGGTCAGGAATCGCAATTTTTAACTGAAATAAATGAGAATATTTCTATATGAAGTAATGAAGTTTGAACATATCCTTCTGAAAAACCTGATAATGCACTTTTTTCCTACTTTGATAATTTCTATCAATATTGATTCCTTAATAATAACTTCTCGATGTTAAGACAGCAAAAAATGCTTGCTGAAAGTAATTCAACGTGGATAAATAAACTTGAATTCGTAGTAATTTCCAGACTCTCAAGTACCGAAGCTCCGCTTCGTCTGAAGATTAATAGTATGCAAGAATTCAGAAAAGTGAGATCTTGGCTTTTAATTTCATTTCTAACTTTCGAAGAATTACCGGCTTGGCAAAGTCTATATAAATAGCGAGAAACTGAAACCTATTTATTTGTAGTCTTGAATGCGATGCCTCTTTTTAACTGAACTATTCGCATGTGAAAAACTGAAATACAGATCGCAGTTTTTGCATGATACAACTATATATATATATGCACATATAAATTATATAAACAATTGTGAACACATACAGGATATGTATTTACAATTTTTTATATACATACAAATAAAATTATATAAACAATTCTAAATACATGTTCTGTATGTATACTTTATAGCACTCTAAAGGAAAGTCATATTGTTGAATCTATCTCCCAGTTTATAGTTACTGATTAAATATTAATTTATTGGTAGAATATTGTAGAATAATAGTAATTGAAACATAATTTCCATAAGTATGATTCCGAAATGTATGATGTGATGGTGGAAAAGAGAGAACTAATCTACCAGTGTGATAATTGCTCATTAATTGTTATTTAAACTTTAATTTGAACGCTTGCTTTTCCACATTAGTGCTGCTCCATTAAAAAAAATCAAGTAATTTCTTCTATTGTTGGTGCACTTACTCTAATATAACAAAAATTTCAAGGTTGAAACGAACACCATGTAACTGAAATTTTACCATGAAAGTTTGTAATGCGTAAATAAATAAATACAAAAAACTGAAAGGCGTGTCGCTTAAAAAAGTTGCCATTCCTCGCTTTCAAATCTTTGAGTTTGTTAATCAAAAATTCCTTTCAGATTTACAAATTCTGAAATAAATAATAAAAAATATATAACGTCATTCTATGAAAATACTGAATAATTTAATTAGATAAATCACGAATTAAATGCACTTTTATTACTTAAATCAATACCACTCAAAAGTAAGAAACAAATCTTTTTAAGAACTAGCGAGGAAAGCGGGAGAAATACCTTATATGTTAAACGAAGATAAATGCCAAAAATATTAAATTGAAAAAAAAAATTTGAATTGAAAACATATCGCTGCACAACATATTATCCACAAACAGTGAGTGTACAAATTTTGAGCTCGACTGCTTATAAGGAAATAGTTTAGAAACCTATGTCAATTTTTCAACCGCAGCGACAAACATCATGTAAGAACTATAAAAATCTTATGAAAATAACTGTGATTCTTTTCAGGACATGTACTCTAAAATAGATGAGCTAAAATAAATCAAGATATAAAAGAATAAAATCATGTCCTCTAAAATAAATGTCTCCAATCTGTACGGTGAAAAATCTTTCCCGTGTCTTCCAATTAATAATAATATAGAATAATACAGTTCTTCCCAGTGTAATGAAACGAGATATTTAAAAATAATAGGCTTCATTAATGAAAGTTTGATACTTTCTGTAGAAACATAATTTATTAACATTTATATCAACAACGTAATTAATAAAAAAGCTTTCTAACTCCATATATATAAAGAGGTTACCGAATTTTTCATTAAATTTTCATCAGTACTTCAAACATGGTAATTAATGAATTTCATATCACTGGTTCTAAAACTTTATAATTTTGAAGATTAGTCTAATATGATTTCGGTTTTTCCAAATCTCTAACCATTAACTTCGCCAGGCTCCTAACCTCTAATCTTTCGCTTAGTATAGCGTAAAAAATCTGATGTGTACAACACATCCTTGTATGGAATAATATTAAATTATACACATTTTTTCCTTCATTTCGATTAAACTTATTTCTTCGAATTTCGTTATTTCTCATTCAATTAATTAAGTTCTTACTTTGCGACAAGGCAAAAATACATGAAACTTCAAAATATCTTTATTAAATATTGAAAAATATAAAACATAAATACAGTTAAAACAATTTAAAAAAACAATTTTTACAATTAAAATTAGAGTTTTTACGAAATGTAGCCAGCGGGCAATAGGACAGATATATTATAGGACTATATGTATATAAAACAGCTATAACATGCACTTGTGCACCTTTCTTTTTTCGCCGCAATCGGCTGCACCAATCCTATATAAATATATATTCTAACTCTGTTATCTGGCTCGGTGAGCTCAGTTTCTTTTACTCTTATATGTTGATAAATTGTGCATTTTTTTCTTTAGTGTTGAATTATGTGGTTTTTATGTTCCGGGTAAGGTTTTTTAAGCCTTTTGTTAATCAGCATGCAATAGTTCTAGAATCATAAAAAATTCAAAAGTTTAAATGACGAGTTAAGCCTAACGAACCGTTATTTGTTTACATTTAAAACTCAGTAAAATAGTGAATTAATTATTAAGTCAGTTTGTGCACTTTCAATGTCTTTTTGCCGCGTGGAGACCAAAAGTAAACTTTCAGTTTTGTGCACCGAAAAATCTTCCTTCTTGCTCGCTGGCCGAATTGCTTGTTTTTGAGTAGAAACTGTAATTTTAATCGTAAAAATTGTTTTATTTTTTATCGTTTTAACTGTGTTTGATTCTTTATGCTTTTGTGTATTTTACAATTTTTAATGAAGATGTTTTGAGTTTTTATGTATGTTTGCCTTGTCACAAAGTGAGAACTGAGTTAATAAACTTATTTAATTAAAAAATTTCTGAAAATATTTTGGTAATTATGTAACTAATATTATAATTTCTTTTTCAGACATGGGAAGTTGGATACTGCTGTTGGGTTTCATGGCTATAGCGACAAGTGACCCAATCAATTTCGAACCATTTTTCGCCGAAGAAACCAGCTTTTTTTCGCCACCAGAAGAAGGTCATTTCGGAACTTTTGCTGGCATTCCCTTCTCTCCTCCCATTCGATCTCATTACACTCCTAACTTTCGAGGTAAGGTATTTCTTTCTGCAATCCTAGGTTTAGATATGTTCTTTATAGCATGGAAGTTAAAAAAAAAAGAATGCGAGAAGGTGACGATTTCCAAAGTTTGACATTTGGATACAATATCAGACATCATCTCAGCAAATAAATAGATTACTTATTACTATCTAGAATGTAACGCCTTTCTCTCATTCGAGAAATGTCAAAAACTCCTCATTTTTATATACAGGGAACATATTATGGGAAAATATATGCAGTGAACCATTTCTTAAATAAAAACATATTATACTCCTTTTATAGTATATATACCTTTTAATTTTAATATCCAGAGTAATACTTATTAAATATATCATGAAATTATGTAAAATAATGGTTTAAAATAAATACTAGTCTGATTCTCCAAACTGTCAGGGGAATTAGTAATAAAACAATTAACAACTTATTTTGAATTCAACTGGCACTGAACTAAACCAACACAAAGTTACTTCCATTTCCCTCGGAAATTACAGACAAAAATTAATTAAATTATTTACAATTCAAAGGTTTAAATTTAGAATCTAGCAAGTGGATTGGCTAATTACATGATTATTTTCTTAACGAAACTTCCAAGTAGAAGAAAATCATTAGCTGGTAGCCATAGCCGTTTACGTCGGACAACAACAAAGGAATTTCATTACAGCCGGCTGAAGATGCCAGCCCTCTTTTTCTCTTAAAATTAGATGCTTACTGCTATTTAAAACTCTTCTCAAAAGTAGGCAATACAATAGGACTTCGGGACAGATTTTAAGATAAGAAACAATGTAATAATTAAAATAAAACTTATAATATAATATCTAGCAATACAAAGCGAATAATTATTATTATTGTTCCAAATAATATTGATAATAAATAATTACTCTATTTTTGAAACGTTTAAAATAACTTACCTTAAATTTTAAGTAGTTAAAGCTAATGATAAAAGCTGATGTTCTAAGCATTTATATTTATTACACATATTAAGCTAATAATAAAGCTAAAGCTTGAAACAAATTAATTCAGTTTTCTCTACCTCCGATATAGAGTTTACAGGTTGTAAATTTATAAAGCTTCTAAACTAACAAGTCCTTCAATGTCCACGTAAATATGATCGCCGTGTAATGGGAACTCGATCTGAGTTTGATTCTCGGTCAATGGCTCGTGGCATGAGGTTTTCAAGCCTTTCCTCGTGCAATAACTTGAATACGCGACAGTTTCATTTAGAAAGTTTCCCATAAAGACTAAAATGTTCTTGAATTTTGATAATATTTTTCTCGAAATTTTCTTGATTTTTGAAATTATTTTTTAATAATATTTTCTTAAGTTTGAGCACAATAAGAGGCACTTTTTAAAACTTTCGGGAAAGGCAGAAAATTTGAATTAACTTTAAATTTTGCACTATGCTCAAGAATAAGAAAATAAAACAAAAGTTGAAGATCTTTTTGGTCATAATCACGTAATATGTAATCTTGCAAAAATCGTCTAGAAAGCAAACAGACAGGTAAAAAGTACATTCTCAATTACAGCTCCTAACCCTGCAGAGTCGTCTGATCTTCCCCTATACACAGACGGAGTGGCTACACCACCTCAAGTGACACTCTCACGATTAGAGAAAGACTACAAAGCTCAGCTCTACAAGCTTGCTAGTCTACAATCGCATCTTCCTCGTCCCAATTTTGGATCTCATCAGGGGACCGGTGGTCATAACTTCAGAGGTCCTGTCTTTCATTCAGAGCCTTTCGTAGCAGCTTCGAATGTTGAAGAACGCAGACCCTCTGACAATATACCTTCTGACAACAGACCTTCTGACAACAGACCTTCTGACAACAGACCTTCTGACAACAGACCTTTCGACAGCAGACCTACCAGTAACAGTTCCCTGACCACGGATCGTCCGCGGACAAGTGAAACCCATAGGACCCAAAATGTGGAACTGCACACTGGATTCGTGCCCATCATCAAGGGGGCACGGCAAGAGAAGAGGTACCGTGAATTCATTTTTCCGTGATTAAACCTTTTGAAATCGAGGTCTCACATCACAGCGAGTTAGTCCTATTTTTAAGTACGAGCAAATACATAAAACAAAACTTGCCACCCAGACGGGAAAGTGGTTAATGAGTCTGATTGCCGTAACGAAGAACGCCGGAGAATGTACGGATTAATGTAATTGCCGGAGAATGTACGGATAATGTAACTTACATCCGCAACGGTATAGCCACCTATTAGGTGCTTCCATAATAAAGTGATCACCGCTTACAGCCCTAGTGGCTAGGTGCCTATAATGGCTAATGCCCGCCGTTGGGGAAAACAGGAAAAAACTGGTACTAAATAAAACCAAATAAAAACTCAAGTGAACTAAAGATCTGGTGTAATTAACTTGTTCAATACGAAATTTAAAGCTATAAAATTAAAATGAATTTTTTAAAAGTGTTTTCTTGGGTTACAACAAAAACCAAATAAGCCCAATGATAAAGAATAGACTTAAAGTATTTCTATGCATATATAGAGTCTCATCTTTCTAGGGCAGCATGCACTAAGTCGAGACTGAAGAACTAAAGGAATGATCGCTGTGTCTAGTTAATCGAATAGAGAACGTAAGAAGGGTGCAAAAGACCCTCTCATTAAGAATTCAAATAGTTAAAAGAAAGTACTCCCTGTGCTTGCAAAACCAGCCAGTATTTATGGCGAAACTCAAAAAGTAGGGAATTCAAATTAAAACTAAGTTAAATCTTAAGACGGCCAAAGGCTACCAGAAATTATTAACGCGTGAGTTGGCTCAAACCTGATCTGGCGGGACAAGCACTATAATTGGCAACGATAAAGCAGTGCCGAAGACAGATTGCTATTGTAGAATTTCAACTAGTAACGTGGTCTTCAGCAGGAAGAACACGCTCTGTCTAAACAATCTAAAGCCTTCCTTTAAATACTACCTTTTCCCACCTCATTTGAATATGCGCGAACTAAAATTATCACTCTGGTAGGGAAACGGAAAGAGAAAATGACAGTAACGATACTTAACATAAAATAACTGGTTCGATAAAAGAAATAAATACGTTACACATGTTTAATTGCATTAAGGCCATGAAATAACATATGATATGATTAAACGTTTCGAGTGACTAAATAATTATCAACAAATATTTGACGAAAAAGACAACTCTTATCTTTTTAAATTCTATCTTAATAATTAAATTCACAAATAAAAGAACTATATTTTGTACATCACTTTTATTACGGTCCACAACAGGAAATGTGCATCAAAAATAAGATATTTAATGTATACTTTGTTAAATGAAACTCGATAGTGTTATTAATTTTGAAGTCAAATCAAGAATGATTCAATTATTTTTCAATATTTTGAATTTGTATCTCTGGTTTTCGCAGGTTAAGTCAAAATATTGCAAGCACTGTCATAAAGGATATAGAACCTCCCATATTAACAGCTTCTTCCATCTCTTCAAGGCCCACCTCATTCAAAGTATCAGCAAGCGTATTGTCTTCATCCAAAGCATTACCGGACTCCCGTCAACGAAACAACATACCTGCAGAAAGGCCCGTCAAGATCACACAAAACAGTTTTTCGCGTTTCTTGAATCGTAACAACGATACGAAATTTACTACTACTATCAGCGAAAGGTAAGGATTTAGACAATACGTTCCTTATAGTTCAGTTACATGTCCGATTAGGCTAGAATTATGTGCCGTGACTTTAAGGAATGTAAAATTTCTGATTATCATCCTTATCTGAATTAGTTTTTACCAAACATTCACATAGTTGTAAATATTTGTGTATATTTTTTATTGCATAATGGTTTATTATTTTTCAATATCTGGAATTGTTATAGAGGTAAGTTGGAATTATGTAAATCATATGAATAAGAATGAAGTAATAGCTTGTAAAAGTCTACGGATCATGGTAAAAATTTTATTACGAAGTTGACGACAAATGGCAATTTCTTGAAATCGTCATCGTACTTGGTGTATTCAAAAGATCTCCAGAAACCGTTAACATGCAATAACTCGTCTTAGAATTCTTGAAGTCTCTTTGAATAGTAATCAGCATAAAGATGGGAAAGTTGTTGAAAACGATAATAGATAAATTATAACGAGGCGGGAGAAGGTAGTTACCATATTCTTACTAGCAATAATCTCCTCTTAGTCACCCACTTCAGTAGTGAAGACAGTATGAAAATGGAAAGCATCTCAGCATTAAAGGCGGATAAAGAAAATTCAGTTTGAAGGAATTAATCCAGATGAATACGGAAATGGAAAAGTTTGCTATTAAGAAAATCCCAGGGGATTTAAAAAAAGGAGGGATTTTCCAGAAACTGAATGAAAAATTACGGTGTTACTAGAAAAGAATTTTAAGATATTGTCATGATCATAGAATAATTTCGTCATTATATCTATGATAGCAATGAAAAATGTAGATTTGAGTTCCCTGTGTTCAAATAAATTAACACGAACTCCAAAATAGAGACTAATCCTTAAAATAATGAGGAACTGAGATAATTAATAAAAGCTACAAACAGCTGATACAGCCGGCAAGAAACGATAGGATTTAATCGAACAATAAAAACCTACTTAGTTCAGTAGGTTTTCTACCGCTAATGAGAGGCTGACGATAATAATATCTTCAGAAAGCAAATTATATTGCAAAGTATTTTTCCAGATTTTCAAAGAGCCGTATTGACGATCACTTGGGAGTTATGAAAAGACGGAATTACGTAACCAACGCAGGCAAACATATAGCATAATTCGCTTCTTGAAGATTTGACGATGTGTCGCCTAATCAGCTGACATTTTGGAAAGTTCGACCGAAGAAATCAGTACGTTAGGAATTGCGTGGAATAATCTTCCCAAACTATTCTAGTAATCCCATTCTCTCCTCTACATCCCGCCTTAAAAAACTTATAAATGTAGATGGTGAAAAAAGGCAATTTAGTTTATAGTTTGTAGATCAAAGACCTAGCAGTAGTTTATCCATGACTGCTTTTTATTTGTTATTTCTTACCATAACCGCTTTCTTCGGGAAATAAATTTAATTTTTCTTCGGGAAGTAAAATTTTCTTATCTCAATTTTCGGAAGATAAAATTAGTTAAAAAAGGTGAGGGATACGCGATGAAATACGGTAAACTAGCCTGTTCAGTAGCAGTTAAAAGAGAAAATAACTGTAACATACATAAGGAGAAATTTTCAATTTTTTGTAATTCTAGCAAATGTATCATCAATTCAACAATCAGTTTTTATTTAAAGATATGCAATTCCCTTTTCTTTCCTACAAAGTTCATATAATACACTTATTTTTTTGCCTTCAAGTGTGGTATCCCGAGTGGTGGCCCAACCTTCATCTCTTCGCGATGTGCAACAAAAAGAACTCCTCAGATTATCTTCGTCTACATCTGAAGACACAAGACTTGCTGCTAAAAAGATTCTTGAGATCAACTGTGATGGAAGCAGAGATTTAGGATGGTGTGAGCTGGGAGAGAAATATCCCAGGTAAGTATTTTTAAAAGAATTTTGAGACATCTAATCATGAATCGAGCGATCTCACTTATAGTCAATAAACTGCCAAGATTATTTCACTTCATTAAAAAATAACTACCCTGAATCTGATACACTAGCGAGAAATAATTCATTTCAGCCCTTTGTCAAAGGGCACCATATTAGAATGTTACTTGCTTTGTTAAATTTTAATATTATACGCCTTTTATTCTTTTGCCATAGTTAAAGTGTTGCATATTACAGGAAGCGTGTACTTTTATTACTACTTCATAAATTCTAATCTTTCCTAACTAAATCAAAAGTATAATATTCAGTAATTAACGCTGTATAAAATATTGAAACTTCGAGCATTCTTCTGCTAATGCCTTCATTGTTTTCTGATATAACGGGAGTATGATGCATCTATATTCAATTTAATCCATTAAATTAAGTTGTAATTAATATAAGGATTTTTTAGGGGGAGGGGTGGAATTTAATTCCACTTTTTCTGCTATATGTGAAAATACAAGTCTCACATATTTAACATTAAAAAATTATTAATTCGGATAATGGAGAATTATCCGGCGTAATGAAGAAATGTTTCAGCTGCTAAAAGCCGGGACGGACTCTGTCCATATGACGAATCATCTGTTTTTCTGGCTCTGGGGGAACAATTCACGTAGTAAAATAATTAACGGAGGTAAATTTTCAATTAACTCATTTATAATATAAGTTAAATAGATAGGAATATTTTTAAGAACAAGTCTTTCAGTTTCTTTTTCAGTAATTTGTTTTACTTTGAAAAGTAATTCACTAATTAATTTACAAAAAACTAAAAATCACGGACAACGTAATTAACGATGCTAAAAAGTTACGCTTTTAGAGGACAGATAACTATGAAATAATTAAAGTTTGCGAAAGAACGAAACAAGCCAAAAAATTAATTGTTGGAAATACCGATATAATTTGTCATTTAGTTATAGGGAAATTTTGAAAACGCTTAAGAAAATACAAGGAAAGTTATTTGAAAAACTAGCTTCACATTAACATCAAGACCTACGAAACAAATCGCATTTATATTACAAATATATTTTTAAAAACCAAAAACCCGAAATTTTTCCAAAGGTAGCCGTTTCTCATATTCAAACAAATTACACCATGCATGCATGTGTTAATGTATAAAAAATTTTAAATTCTTATATAACGAATTATTTAAAACAAAAGTAAAAAATAATAAGGATTTAAACCAAAAAGCACAGAACTTTATTTTTTCTAGGAAAGGAAACAATAATTTTGCTTAAAATTTCACTAAATCACAGTCATTAATTCCTTCAATGCCGATGATCCCTATTTTATGTATTACGAAAAATTAAAAGTGGACTTTTGATAATTCATTTCTAACCAAAGAATATTTCATAAGCGTAATCCTCAGATATTCGCCAAAGAATATTTCATACGCGTAATATTTCATAAGCATTATGAAGATGCATTAGTTCACAAAAATAATAAACCTAATTTTTATAAATGCATATAGAAATTTAGTCACAATTAAATTGTTCTAAATAAAAATTTACAACTAAACAGGACATATGCTTGAATTTATATGGTAAATAGCTAGAGAAATTGTTTAATCTTAGGTAGTCCATTCTAACTTTTATAATATAGTTCAGCTGTTCTGACATGGAATAAACTTAAACTTTTTGTTGATATCTATTTTATTATCATTTCATTCTTGCTTTTGATAAAATGCCGTGTGCTTCCTTACCCTTAACTGTAATTCTTATCCAATGTTTCTGTAAGATTTAAATCGGGAAACTGCAGAGGCAATTTGCTCATTTAAGAACAACTAATAGAGGAACTACAGATGCACATTAAAAATGGCATGTTTCAGAGTCACTGTCTTGATGCCGTTTAAAAAAGCTTCTGATGCTCAGAGTTTGGGCTGATGTTTTCCTTTATTATCTTCTACAATGCTCAAATATTTTTCATAAACCATTTTAGTTACAGTAAAGACCTGATCATCTAGTCCTGCTTCAGACATATAACCCCAGTAACAAATCCAGCGTCCTACTTTACGGTTGAAACCAAGTCATTTGGTTGGATTTGCTTTCATTGTTTCCTTCGCAATAATCCAATCATTTCAACAAAAAAATATTGATATTGTTTTATTACACAAAGCAGGTCTGACCTTATTAATGCAGAGGTCTTATCATTAAATTTGCCAATAAGAACATGAAGTTTATATTTTTTCTAACGAAGATGTTTCTTCTTGAGGAACGACTTTTTTATCCAGCTGATGAATTATCTTCTTTGAACTACTTTATAACTAAAATTAAAACTTTATAACACTTAAAACAGCCCAATATGCAGTTCTTTTTTTCCGAAATTTCCTTAGCAGATTTAGCATTTAAAAAATGAATGACTGTTGAGTTTTATTAGGAGACGATCCTCTATGAAGCCATGTTATGATTTCTGTGATGTAAATTTAACTGGATATTTCTTTAAAATTCAGAGCAGGTGTCGGCAACCTTTTTTACTAAGACGGAATATTTCAGAAATACAGGAGCTTGTAGGGAGGCTATATTAATAATAAAAATAAATATTAATAAAATCAAATATACAATAAAAAATTTTAAAAAAATTGAAAAGTTTCAGATTTAAAATTACGCCCGAATTGGTATTTTTTAAAGTTTTGTGTGTTACGTTTAATTATTAATATCATATTTTTTGCACATAAACCATAAAATTCAGTTCAACAGCAATGTCGCAAAATAATTTTTAAATGAGCATATCTTTAGAATTTCCGATACGCAGTTCCGCGCGCTGGAGATAAAAAAGTCCCCCCCCCAGGTCGAGTGTTGCCATTGCTCGCTTTTAAATCGCTGAGTTTGTTAATCAAAAATTCGTTAAAGTTTTACAAAATATGAAATCGATAATAAAACAAATTTCAAATTTGGGCTTTTAGATACCCATATTCGCAGTAGGATTTCGTCATTCGAAAGTGGATGGCTCTAGGTACCGTTGTTTTATCACAATGCGAGAAACATACATACATTTACACAGATTCTTCATTATTTAATTTCTTCAAATATAATACAGAGCGATAGTATTTGGTGGCAACGGTTTGAAAAGTGACACGCCGTTTATAGAGTTCCGACAGAATCGCAAAACGAAATCCACAGTCCTTCAGGGACAAAGCCCCTTTGGACTAACAAGAAAAATAAATATATAATTATATCAAAATAGAGATAATTTATGTGGATTATATAATTTAACATTAATATATAATTTAACATTATATAATTTAACAACAGCTCATTTTGTTATTGCAAAAACGCTTATGAGAAAATGCTGCTCATAAATGTTACTAGCCAAGGAAGAAAACTAAATTATTGTTATTGCGCAATTGTAATAAGTTTTGACTCGCAAATCAGCTAAAATGAAAGTATAGCCTTAGTTCCAATCATTGCAAAAGCAATGCTGTGTGCATCTGTTTTTACTTCCTTGTACGAAGTAAAAAGGAAGTATTGTAATCGCGAAAAGCTTCAGGCAGCATATTTCAACGAAAATATCCACTTTGACCGCTTTCGAATGCAATTTAACGATGTTTTTGAGTGATATCTGTACGTAGGGACAGAATAAAAGACTCTTTTCCTCAAAAAAAAAAAAAAAAAAAAAAAAAAAAACTGCTTTAAAATGAATTCTGAAGAGAATTTTTCGTGGCGTCTGTACGAACGTATGTAAGTACGTACGTATCTCGCATAACTCAAAAACGAGTAGCCTCAAAACGTTGAAATTTTATATATAAAAACTACTATAACATGTAGATGTGCAGCTCGTATTTTGGTTTCAATCGGCCGCGCCAAACGTATATATATAAAATATTTATAAATATATCCACTCTGTTACCCGGCCAGTGATCTCAGTTTCTTTATCTTATATGTTTGTAAATTGTACATTTTTGCTTTAAAAAGATTGAATTATGTTGTTTTATCTTCCGGTTAAGGATTTTATGCCTTTAGTAATCTGGTATGCAATATTTTTAGAATTATCAACGATTTTTTAAATTGTTTAAGCGCCGCTAAGCCTAATTTTTGATGGCGGCCATTGATGTTTACATTTGAAACAGGAGGACTAGTGGATTGTTGCCAAATCTAGAGAAACTTAAGCTTCGCAACAACAAAGATAACGCCTTCATTTTATTATTGTACGAATTAAATCATGCTTAATCCTTTCTGGAATTTTTTCGAGGAAATAAGCGTTTAAGATTTACTTCGTAATTTTTAATATAGATATTTTGAGTTTTTATGTATTTTTGCCTTGTCGCGAAGTGAGAACTGAATTAATTGAATGAGAAATACTCAATCGTCTGTGAAAAATTGTTTCTTTTTTGTTTTGTTTGCTTAATTTCTTTTATACATAGTTCTAGCTTTATTATAGTATTTGAATAGAACATGTGGCAACGATTAGATAATTCTTTAAATGATACAAATTTTGTGCATTCAGAGTTATAATATGTTTAAACTTATCATTAAAGACACCCTACTTATAATATATTGGTAAAGGCCGCACTAGGCCGATTGCCTCTTAATTGTGTTATGACATAGACATAGTTATAATATGAACGAAATATAATACTGTTAAGTAAACCTAGCGCCAGAGTGTCGCTATGGTAAACAAAGTGAATTTTAAAATTTATGGTAAACAAAGTGAATGTTTATGGTAAAACAAAGTGTTGTTTTTTAACAAAGTGTTGTTTATGGTAAACAAAGTGAATTTTAAAAAATGCATTTATTCTCTTGTGGTTTATGCGCTGTCTGCGAAGTAGGTTTAATTCAATCTAATAAGTTTAAATAAAATGCAAGAAAAAATGCGTATAATTTAATATTCCGTACGAGGAAGTCATGTGGTGTACACATCAGATTTTTTAACTTTTAATTTAAAAGAAGAACGTGGACTCTGCTTAAAATTCAAAATAGAGATCCATGTACTGACAAGTTTATATGCGAACTGAGGTTGCGAATGCAAAGCGTAGCACGCCATTATTGGACAGAGTTTTACGAGGATAATAGGAAAATAAAATAGCTCATTGCGTCAGATGTTTCTAGCAGTCAAGCATTGATTCATTTAGTCATGTATGTTATCTGGATATCATTAAGATTCAGTTCTTTCAGCTTAAAATAAGAGTTTTTACTAAAATTATTCATTACAATTAATAATGTTTGTTTCCAAATTAAATATTTGAACAACGGGCATTTTAAAACTGCTTCGTGGTCACCTTGATGCCTGCAGGCAGCACGTTGCCGACCCCTGATATGCAATATAACAGCATTAATGTTTAATAGAATTATAATGCAATAATAAAAATTTTTAAAGTTTTTAGAAATAATTTTTAGTTCATAATTGCTTCACACACAAAAAGCTCGGCGAAGGGAATAAGAAAAGTTCAGAAGTTAGTACTGAATTCCTCCCTAAACATTTTGGCGGAAAAAGAAATAAACAACATAAAGACACTTTACAGTTTTAATTATGGAATAGAAATTAGCTCAAGGAATCAGAATGATTTTGCAAAAGCTGGCGGAATAGTCTATGCCAAACTGCTTGGAATTATAGGAAAAAGCTAGTACCTATTTTAGAATATGTGGAATTTGTGCTCCTCGTGGCAAGTTTGCGGTTTGAATGTTTAAATTCGGCATTGAGAGCATAAAGCACGAGACTGTGGGTTTCGATAACACTAGGGTTTATTTTCTTGTCAGATTTACTTCGTGGAAACGCAGCCAAACATTCTACGTGACAAGGAATATTTTCAGCTTTTATGTTACAAAAACGCTGGACCTTTTGATATCATTCAAGGGAAAATTCGGAAATACATTACTGTATTTGGGAGATAATGAGAATATTTCTTCATCTCCTCACCAGCAATATAATATTTTACGAAGTACACTAGATTGGAAGTGATTGCAGAATAAATTACTAAACATCAAACTATGTAAACCATTGCTCTGTTATTTAAGGGGAAAAAATAAATAATAATAATAATAATAATAATAATAATAAAGAGCAATAACATTTAACGGTTTAATTCAACCCGAAAAAAAGTGTCCAAAGAATGTGTAAACTGTTTTAAGTAAATTTTGATATTTTAAAATTATTATTTTAAAAAACGTTATGCAAATTTTTACAGAAAATAGAATAATTACATCATTTTAAATTACAGTGAATAAATATTTTAATCCCTCTTGCACATATTTTTGAAGCAGAATGAAAAATGTCCCAAATTTCTGGCCACTGTATGTAGTCCTCCTTAACATTGACATACGCGTTTCTGTGCGAGTTTTGTGAAGTTACCTCTCTATGAAATTCTCCATTCCGTCTCTGTCCGATGTCCTAAATTAAAAATAATTCATCTGATTTCAAAAATGAAATTGAAATGCATTACAATTACTTTGATTATGAAATACTTGTACTATGCACGGAATTCGCAAAATATTCAATCAGCTAAAGTCGTCATTTTTAAGTACTTTAATTTTGAATAAGCAAACATAAATTTAATTCGATTTCATAGCTGTACGAAATTTAATTTTCGTTTCTGCCAAGCCAGCTTTTATTCGAATTGTTTAGTCAGCTTTACCCTTTACATGAAATGAAACATTCCGAACTTCTGATGATATGCAGATTTGAAATAATAATAAATATGAACCACTATGTTTCTTTCTTATACATGCTATCTTTAGAAAAGCATCTGCAGGTTTAACTTACCCATATTAATTATATAATTCTGACATAGGAAATAAATTATTATAAAAATTAACAGCTGTTACGCATAAATCAACAGGAAATATGTGGATCAAGTCGTCAGTTCCTGTCAAGATGTAATACAGAGGATGCATGTGGAAGTACCTCACAGTTTTGAGAAATTGTCCGATACTTCAGACTTCAAAGCAGAATTAGATAACAGGTAAGAATTGAAAATTCAATGAATATTTGCAGCAAATTAGTATAAAAACAGGCGGCCACATATTCTACATGTAGGAAAGAATGGCATGCCAAGTAAAACTAACAGTACATAAAACAATATTATTTTCGCAGAAGCACTTTCAGCGACTGAACACTGTTGCCTTCTTCAGTTGCAACTAAACAAGGCAACAGCGCTCAATCGATAAAAGCATTTCTACTATAATAACATTGATGCCAATTTCGTTGCTCTATCTACATTGGGATTTTTTCCACTATAAATAAATATTTTATTGCTTCTGTAATTCTATAATTAACAAATTAACTGCAAAAGGGAGAAGAAAAACAGGCGGAAGTAAAACCTTCTGTTTGACGTATATTTTGATCAAGACTCATCGATTTCGAAGGCTGCAGGAGCCTCATCATCAAGAGAATTCTGTTAATATAAAAATAATCAAAATTCTTATATATAATATGCATTAATTTTACGTTATTTTATATTATATATAAATTTGTATACAGATTAGGCATTTATATAATAATTTTATATTAATTATATAACGGTAATTATTAAATTTTTGCTTTATTTATAAAATGATAAAATTTGTTTTCCCCCTTTCATATACTTAAACTGATACTTTATTATGAATCTAATTATCAGCAATGTATGTATTTCTCGGTATTATGAAGTAATCGATTTATTTTCCTTTTTTATATAAATGAATGATACATAAATACATATATGCATTGCATTTCAAAATTAATTGCTTTCCTTTCCCGTTTCATTTATTTTATTTTTTTTTAATTTACAATTTTAATTACATTTCGTATTTTGCGTTTTTAAGCATTTACTTTCTCTCTGTTACTAAGCCTCCTGTTTATTATTACAGTTAATATTATCATAATTTATTCTAAAAATTGAGCCCTAAAAAAAAAAAAAAAAAAAAAAAAAAAAAAAAAAAAAACTTTAATAATTATTATACTTGCTATGAAACCAATGGAATTGATAGAAATCCCGTCATCTGCTTTGATTGGATAAATAGCTCATAGCAACTTCGATACAAGACAAAATGCTGTCAGGCTAACCTGCATAGACAAAATACTGTCAAGGGATATGTCTGCCAGCAACAGCACGACTTTACTGAGTCGCTGAGCAACTTTGTGTCCTCATGTAGACGAGCCGTAAGATGAGCAATTTGAGCACCTACTGGAATGTTATCTCGTCCGGGATGAGGTACATTTTCGCAAATATATACTGTCGTCTGCATTGTTCAATAATATAAAGAAATACGTATTATAAAAAGATAACATACATTGTATCTTTCACTCAGCATAGTAAAAAATGTATTAGGCTCCGTTGTTCAATATCCTTGCACCTTTCATTAACTGGTACTCACACAAGTTCCGTTTGCTTCCCACGGAACCATGCTTTTCATCTACAGTTATTAACCGATGTGAACGCGTTTCTCGGACACCCCTAACTTCCGGATATATATATATATATATATATATATATATATAATATATATAAATTAAAAAAAAATTAATCTCATGTTTATGCGGTTTCCCGCACACATACAGGACTGTTCACGATTGCCATCGGTAGCTGCAGTTGTGGACATTTGCATGTTCGTGGACGATTATACGCATGTTCGTCTGTTTTGTGTTAGGAGCCAGCAAATACATCACGGGTGCCCCTTCGTTCACATGGCCGGACGCGATGTCAGAGAATTTTGAATTTATAATTCTGCTGAACGAAGCTGCGTATCAAAATCCTTCTAACAGCATTTTGTCTCTCATATTTGAATACACCATATGCACCTTATCTTAGACACCCTGTATTTTCACTGGTGATATATCTTATTTATTATTTTATGTTAAAATAACTTAATAGTATAGTAAGTTCTTAAAGCGTGATATTTTTTCTAAATTAATAACCATTAGTTTTATGAATTAATTATTCTGTTACTTTTGCATTAAGTTCTAGTATGAAATGAGATAATTGGTTTTTTTCATTACGGCAGCACTCAAAGATCAGCGAGAGAAAGAGGAAGTCATGATGCGTGGTCTTGGGCTGCCTATTTACATCAAGGATCACTGTGCGAAGCAGAAACAGGATTCTTGAGACCAGAAACAGCTAAAGATACAACAGGGAAGTGGAATATTATAGTGCAAACAGAAGCTTTGAAACAGAGAGTTCCCATTGAAATGTGCAGGTGAGATTTCAAATGTTTAAAGTAAATTAATCCCCCATTTTACAAAAACAACTACAAGTATAAGGAAAATATATAACGAGATGACTCCAAACTTTACGCTTTAGTGCAAACCTAAAATATTGATGCCTTCAGTCTCTATGCAGCAATATCTTTTATCTTCCCTCGGGTTTCTTATTTTAGTGTAAACATTTTCGAAATTTTATAAAGCTAAAAATGGCATCCTCTCTGCGTTTTCTCAGTGGCACAAATGTATTCATAAAAAGTAAAATATCAGCATCCAGATAAGTCTTTTCCTCGACTCTCGTCAAAATAATGGCAGTACATTACAGCAACTCAGAATTAAGAATTTCTTACAAATCATACTAATATAAAGATTTTACAGAAAACTCTAAAGAATGAAAACAACTGTATTAGACAATCTCAATTTTTAGACATAAAAGGGACATAACCGACTCTGTGGATTAATGCTTCCTTCAAAGTGCATTATATACCAGGGAGGGGGGTAAACTTCATGTTGATAAGATTCGCACGTTGGAATTTAACGCATATATTTTATTTGCATAAATGCTGCACCATTCGCCTGCGACAGCCGGACGCGGTTCGCCAGACGCGTAATGGTTTCGCCTATCATATACTCTAATCTACTTGAAAAGAAACCTTAAATATATCCAAGCAATACAGTAGTGAAAACATATAATTAATAATATAAGTGATTTATGAAGAACTGTAGATTTTGCACTGTACACTTTTAAAGGATTACTTTCTCATCACTAATAGTCAAGATTTTTTACCAACATATTTATGACCATCAAGAAAGAGTATGAAATCAGGGTCTGAAGGATTTCGTGTAACCTGAGAATATATATAAATCTCCGCAACGGCCGTTTCTTCACCTGATATTTACTGACATCGTGCGTACACATTCTTAGGAAGATAGTATTCGGCATATTTCAACTGCTGCATTTTGTGCATGTTACGGGGAGTGCTGTCATGTCGCTTGCATTATGAAATTTAGAGCTTACGATATTTAGAGCAATTTTGTTCTTCCCGCTTTACTTCTCTGATGTTCTGAACCGCAGATAAGTCAAACCATGGGTACTGGGAGAGTAATGAGCAAACTTCGTAACTTAAATTTAATTTCGGTGTCTATTGCAGTTACTGAATAGACTGCATTTAACCTTATATTCATAATATCTACTTATAATCCACATTTAAATGAATTAAATGCTTTTTAAGCAATCTGCTTATCATGCATTATGTCGCAGTTGATCTAAATACAAACTTAATTACAGGAATTATAGATGTCAAAATTCAAATGGTATCTTACCTATTTATGCCACTGTTTCCAATCATTGGCCAGATTTACAGGGTGTTAGAAAAATATGGTTGCAGTTTTATTTATCTGCATCAGGGGCAGTCAACTATTTTATACCTACCACCCCTTTTTTGTACCTATTAGTAGCAAAATTTTGTAACCGCCCATCGGTTCCACAGTAGTGGTGATTTACAAAGTAGGAAAGAAACTTTTCGTCAGATTTATAAAGCAGAGTTACAGCAAGTAAAAGAAAATAATAATAATTACTTACCACGTATACACGTTATACGTGTCACCAGCTGTTCGCTTAGAATCGAACCAAAGCAGGTCAAATTACTAGTAGTCAATGGTCTTAACTACCTGGTCACTCTTGGGGCGGAATGAATCTTGGTAAAGGCATTGATGTTTTTGAGTACACATGTCTTTGCGGTATGGCGGCACTTAAAAAACTGTCGAGTTGAAAGTTCTATCGAGAGTATGGTTAATAGGAAACGGAAAGAAGGGCGGGAGACTTTTGTATCCGTTTTCCGGTTAATTCTTTTTGAAAACTGAGACGGAGATCGGCAAATTCGTTCTCTAACTTATATAATGCCCAAGGCCTAAGCCAATTACAGGTGCAACCCTTGAGCTCATGATAAATTCGTGGATTTGATCCGATCTTACTGTTAGACAAGTGAGATAAGTCACAACAAAAATAAAGTTGCACGGTAGCACGCTGGGCCGGTATTCCAGAGGTCCGTGGTTCGATTCCCGGCGAAGGCAAAAAATTGGTGCCTATACATGTCAAGATACTACTGATAAAATCTTACAGGATTTGAAATAGTCAAGTTAAACATTTTGGTTACGGATATGAATATTGCAGAATTTGTGGTACGCTTAAATTTTTTTACCCTTTTTATCTTCTGAAAACTAACTTAAATTTACTACCCCAATACTTAAGTTCGAGAAAACATCAAGGTGTCATACCATCAATAACACAACGTTAGAAGCTTTCCCAATGAAAATAATCGTATTTATTACGAATCTTTTCAACGCTTGTTTCCTGTTATCATCCATTTTTCTTATATTATTCAAACACTTCGGCTAAAGTTCCTAGCAATAACCTCCAAACTAGATAAAATTCTTCAACATCCATTTAGTTATCAACCTTTTAGACTACCTTTAAACGCAAATTCTTTCGGAGGAAAACTTGGAGCACAATTCAGTAGAATGCAATTTTACAAGATCAGTTTTGGTTTAGATAGCTAAAACAACAGCATACATTTTAGATTTTGAAAAAGCATTTGATAAAATTTGGCATTCAGGCCTAGTTTGCAAAATGCCTTATTTATTTATAGTAAAGCCCAATAAATTAGGGAATAAATTTTCCTTACTTTCTATTATTGTTCTGTAAGAGGTTGCCTTGAAAATCGTTCATTTCGAACTAACATTAATCGCATCCATATCAGAAGTCTTTAAAATGTCTATTTCGGAAGCTTATCTTCACGATGCATATACTTCTTCCAAATATATATATATATAGTTAGCAGTAATTACACAATATACATACTTCTGTTTCGTCCAACCAATGGCAGCGTATAAATGGGGTCCGAACACATTCTTGTAAAAATCTAGATTCTAGAGTAGCGTATTCAACTTTTCAAACGTGAACATTCTAGCACTCATTCATGAGCCCTTCAAAGGTCTTTCTTTGGATTCATAAGTTTCTGAAATACACAATGCATATATTTCTGTTTTATCCAACCAAAAACACCGAATAAAGAGGAACAAAGGGTTCCGAACGCTTTCCGGAAATGTAAGTAAATGGAATGAGTAATATGGTCTAAGAATGTTTTAAATCAGTTTGAATATATTCACAATACTGCCCTATAAAAGAAAAGGAAGCACATAATCTATTTAAAATTTTTCGAATTAAAAAAAATGGAATCTAGATAAGAAAAATTCTATACACTCAAAACAAAACTTGAGTAATATAATAAAAATAATGTGTTATAAAATCTATTCGAGTTCATATTTAATGAAGTTTATTATATAAAAATTCGTATATCGCTATTAAACACTTATTTCATTAATAATAAAATGACAGTCAAGAACTAACAAATTACATTCATTGCTGAGCTAATTATAAAATATCCATTCCGAGTCATTAACATTATTTCCTGAACGTTTCGAAAAATAAGAACTCTTTAAATAAAAAACTTTTTATGAGACAGCAGTTACTCCTTTCTCTGCTGTTATATTCCTATCAAAATTAAGAATAAATAGTAAAAGAATACTTGCAGCCATTCCGCAAAGGGCCGTTCACACTACAGATTATCTGAGCAAACACAGATATCTGGCATAGTCAACACTGCTCCATGGTGTTGAAAAAACAGTTTTTCTTCACAACGGGGCGAGTTCCAAAATTTGAGCTTCATGCAAGCTAATCTACAAATGGAACCTCTTTCATTTGCTCAGATAAACCCCAGTATAAACGATTCCTGAATGACAAGCTTTTAGTTTGTTTCATTCAAATGGATATATAGCATGGCTCCCATAGGCTATCTGTCTAAAGATGAGGATGCCTTCACGAAGGGCTTTGCAAAGTAAATAGTCACAAATGGGGGGGGGCATGAAAAAATTTATACAGCTAGCCCATTCGCCAGAATTTAAATCTAGGCTGAACTACCATTGTTCAAGTATTTCTCCCATACAGTTACTGGAGGCCTAATGTATATACATACACGCACACACAGACATATATATATATATATTAAAATGCACTGAAATTTCAACAATTCAGAAATAACATAAAACGTATATATTATCTGCATGCATAAAAACTAGTTATCTAACTACTAATTAAAAGAAGAACGAAATTTTAAATTGTTTCTGCTATGCCAAATAATTTTTATAATACGCCAAATTGAAAAGACTCAGCTACATTGTGGCCAAAATTTCAAAACTTAGATTTTCTTCATGGTAGAATAAGTTAGCCGCATGAGTCTCCTTATACTAGTTTTATATATGGGCTAATAGTCACATAGGGCTTTGCTGCAATTAATTAACTTATAAGGTATTTCTCCCGCCTTCTTAGCATAGTGGTCAGCACGCTAGGCACGTACGTATTCCAGAGGTCCGTGGTTCGATTGCCGGTGAAGGCGTTGTTCGTTTTTCATCTCTCCTACTTCCAAAATACATAATGTCTCTACAAACTAAACGCAGTTTTATGACATTTCAGAAATAATTTATAATATTTCTGCAAACATACATAAAACAATAAAAAAATGTAATTTTTTCCAAAGCAGAATTAAAGATCAAAGATTTGCTGCTATATCTCTTGCAGTATCATGTCCTTCCCTATAATACTAATTATGCATGCAATTGAATATAGTCAATATTCACTCTTTTATTCTTAATTCATTCTTCTTTTCAGGAAAGTCAACACATCCTGCAAGAAGATGCTCAACTGTGGACTTAAAAGTCAATGCCTTCAGAAATACAATTACCACCTTTTACTCAGTCTGAACCCTACACAAAAACACGACTGCCCATTTATGAAATTATACAGATTTCCCTCTGCTTGTGTATGCCATGTAGAATGAAGCATGTCAGACTCGATGACAATATGCCATTGAAACTGAAGCACTCAAATTTTCTGCAGAATTGCAAGTATTATACTGCATTTCATAATGACAGCAATAAGTGGGGTCAACATCACATAAAAGAAAAGAACTTCTTAACTTTCTCGAAATGACTATTGAAATAAGGAATTATTCTGAAAAATCATAAAATTAGGGTCAGAACATTTCTATTTTGGTTCAATAACAGTATTCTTAACAAAGCTCAAAAACTTCCACTACAAATACCATTCATATATATATACTTTTTACGAAATGGGAACTATTGCTTCATAGTATGCCTAGTTTCCAAATCAATGAATAAATGCATAGAAGCAAAATAAAATGCAATCATTAAAAACTCAATCAGTGATATAAAAAACATAACATTTTTCCTTATCAGAGGCATTCTTGAAGAGCAAATTAATCAATAAATAAGATTAAATTAAATAAAAAAACAACAAATTAAAAAATTAAGGGAATCACTCAAAATCCCGTGGGTAATTTATAACAAAACACAAAATTTCAATCATTTACCTCATAGCTTTATATATTTTGATATTCTTAGAAACCATCTGCACAATAAACACCGCAATCATTATCTTCAAATGTTTATTGTAGTCTAAAAATCATATCATATTTAAGAATGATGACATAACAGCCAGTTTTCCTCGGTATGCAACATTGGAAACAAGAACCAGAAAATGGCTCATAGCAGATAGCTTAACCAATTAGAAGCAAGAAATAGGAATACCAGATATCCTCTTCCATCAATGCGAACAACAAGGAACTTTTACTCGGAATCCAGTTTCAACTACTAATTTAAGATGACAGCTTAGCTGTGTGCGCAGAACTCCTGGAAAGTACCATTAAAAATAAAGTGCTGAGCGAATTTGTCTTCCAGTTTAATAGCAGCTCTATACTTTAAATAAATTCACTTTTAAAACTGACGAACATTTAAAAATATCCGGATGGAAAAGCAATTCCATGTATATTTTACTTATGTAATTATCATAGTATCAACAGACGACCCTAAAAAATTAGAAATTTTATGCTTTCATGAATATTATTCTCAAAGCAGAATAAACGTCCGTGCGATTAAAAAGTAAAATATTATAAAAATAACATATACAGTAGTAATCTGACATTATTCTTTAGTGTAATTTTACTATTAGTGTTTTTTCTAAAAACAATCTTAAAAAGAATGAAAGGCTGAAGTTGTCAAAGCGGGAAGTTTACATAAGAAATCCTAATTGATTTCAACAAATAAAAATGCAAATTCCATTAGAAATTCATTCTTATTATATAGGTTATATATGAGGTACTTACTATATATTCTTACTATATAATTTCAATCATTTACCTCATAGCTTTATATATTTAGCATAATATATTTGTTAAACAATTTATTTTATAATTTAAATAAACTCTGTTTTCTAGGAAAACATATAAAAAATTTTTAAGTTTGCACACTTTCTGATGTTTGAGGGACATTAAAAGAAAAATTATACTCAAGGAAATGTGTTACTTTTATAGTGGCTTTAATGTAAAAGAAATCAAACTGAAAAGCTATTTTAAAACAAAACAGAGCTCACTTGGTATCTCTTAGCATGTTTTTGCAACCAAATAGTTTTTTTTTTTTTTTTGTTTTTTCTTTTTTTTTTGTTTTTTGTTTTTTGTTTTTGTTTAGTTGTTACTGATATTGAAATGCAAATGCACAACCATTTTTTAAAAGATACAATTCTTATTCTACTTTTGTCATATATGTACAATTTTTTCCATGAGAAAATATTTTGAAATTCTATAAATAAGAAATGTTATCATATGAACTAGGCTAATCATCATGCTAATAATGTTTCAAATGAAAAAATTTCTTTACACAATAATAAAATCTGTTCTAATGGAACATTTGCATTTTACTAAGATGAACACTGCAATGAATTGAATGAATTGAACCAAAATGCAAATGTTCAATTAAAATGATGTATTTAAAATAATGATTTGCGAATGCTCATTTTTTGACATCTAATGTTATTTCAAACATGCATGTTATTCATATTTTTATTGACTATTATTTTATTCATATGCATTCCACTTACATATATGTAAGATAGCGGCTGGTTCGCTTATGTTATGTGAATTAAATATATGAAAAATATAGATGATGCTTATTTATTTATTTCCACTACAAAAGATTTGAATTGATTATTCACTATCCAATATATTAACAGCATATTTTCCAATTACTAGCACATTTATTGATTTAATTTTCATTTATTAAAACAATATGCAGCTTTTTAAAACTCTATCAAAGATGTCACCAAACGTAAATGAATATGAAAGATTAGAATCATAGTGAAGAAAAAGTGTTTTTTGCTGAACTTTCTTTCTCAGTTTTTAAACGACTCTTTTAAAAACTAATACTGCTGAAAATTTTGTAAAATTTCATGATAACAGAATATTTTAAATCTCTCTCAGTATTAAAAGAATCGTCTAAAAAGATTTCCTTCGATAAAAGATATCTAGTACTGATATCTAGTAGATCTAGTAGTAAACTGAAAATTGTACTGCAGAACATCTTTGAAATTATTTTCATCCAGTTTAATTTAAACTATCTCGAAGTTTTGATCAGTAACAAGAAAATAAGTTAAAGTTTCATGAAAGGAGCTATATGGAATTTTCATGTGATTAAGGTTCTTTATATTTAAATCCAGCATTTTATTTTACATTATCAAAATGATAAACAAAAAATAGCACTGTAATGATTACAAAGAACTCAATATAAAACTCATGCATTTTTATTTTAAATTACTCAGGAGTAAGAATAAAATTAAAATGCAAAGAGTTTTTCAGTTGCTTTTCATTTTAAAAAGTAACTTTAAAAAATTAATGATGACAAAACAAACTGAAATTTACTTTGTTGCAAGAACATAAAAGACCTTTTTCAGAACATTTCTGAAAAATTCATTCTTTAAAAACTAATTTACTTATTCATCTGCATTTAAAAATATACATAATTTTTAACCTCTTCCGGCACGCTACCTTTTAAAAAAGTTGGAATTTCGACAAAACAAAAAACAAACAAAAAAAGGGGGCATGCAATCTAATCATGCCACAGATAAAACTTTGTAAAGACAGCAGTTACCATTTTAATTCTGTGGGTGCACCCGCACTGAATGGATAGAACTCTGGGAAGTGTATAATAGAGTACAAGATTTTGCCTATGATTAAAAAACACTAGATTCTGATAACCATAGCAGATTTAGCATTACCCAGGGTGCACCACAGGTAGGCCTGTTACTCTACACCCAAAACGAAAAGCTCTTCTTATTACATGCATATAAATGAAAAAATCTGATGTGTACAACACCACGACTTCCTTGTACGGAATATTAAATTATATGCATTTTTTCTTGCATTTCATTTAAACTTATTGGACTGAATTAAGTCTACTTTGATGATAGCGCATAAACCACAATAGAATAAATGCACTCTTTAAAAATCACTATATTTGTTTACATACGCACTCTGGAGAGTTCACTACAAGTTAATTTCATTCTATTATACTCGAACATATAAATTTATATCTTTTGAAGAATATCTAATCGGCAATGTTCTAAAAATATTAATAAAAAACGATGATAAAAGAAAAACAAACAAAAAAAAAAAAAAAAAAAAAACAAACAAAAAAAAAAAAAAAAAAAAAAAAAAAAAAAAAAAAAAAAAACAAAAAAAAAGTTTTCAAGATATTAGTATTCTCATTCAATAATTCAGGTCCTTCGACAAAGCAAATACAAAAACAAAAATCATATTAAAATACGAAGTAAATCTTAAACATATTCTTGATAAATCCAGATGGATAAACAGATTAATTGCAATAATAAAGCAAGGAGTTACCTTTGTTGTTGCAAAGCTTAATTTCTTCTAGATTGGCAACAAATCCGCTATTTTGCCAAGTTTAAAATGTAAACAAACATGTCCGCCATCGCAAAAATAATTAGGCTTAGCTGCACTTAAGCAACTTTTACATTGTTCATAATTCCACAAATATTTCATGCAGATTTACTAAGGTCATAAAAACCTTAACCGGAAGATAAGAACAACATAATTCAATCATTTCTGGTGCAAAAAATGCACAACTTGCAAACATATAACAGTAAAGAAACTGAGATCACTGAGCCGGGTAACAGAGTGAATATATATAAAAATATATTTACATACGTTTGGTGCGGCCGATTGCAACCAAAATACGAGGTGCAGATCTACATGTTATAGCAGTCCTATATACAAAATTTCAACATTCTGAGACTACTCGTTTTTGAGTTATGTGAGATACGTACGTACAGATGCCACGAAAATTCTCTTCAGAATTCATTTTAAATCGGTTTTATAATTTTTTTGGGGGGAAAAGAGCCTTTTATTCTGTCCTTACATACAGATGACACGCAAAAACATCGTTAAATTGCATTTCGATAGCGGTCAAAATATATATTTTCGTTGGAATATGATGCCTGAAAATTTTCGCTATTACAATACTTCCTTTTTACTTCGTACAAGGAAGTAAAAAAGGTAACTTAGTTATATTATATTTACATTTCATATTTACACTTTCATCTATTTTTTTTCATGGTGGTATTTTTCGCAACAAGTGACAGCACCTTTGAAAAAGCACAACCCAACATTGCATGTTTTGCGCATGTACCTGGACGCCTATTCTACACCACGAAATTCATCTTCACTTTACTGGCCGCCAGATGTCGCTAGTAGTGAAAACCAGCTTTAGTCAACATTGCATATTCTGCGAGTAAGGAATTGGTTGAAAACACGAGAAAATAGTTGCCGCGTCGCCAATCAGGCTTGTGAAGTTGGCTGTAGAGGTTAATAACGGCTCTTATGTGTTTTCGGGCCTGTTTTTTCATATTTAAATAAAGATACTGGCAGATCTCTAAATCGGCATCAGATTTATTGAAAACATGACAATATATATTGCTCTTCCCTAAAATGTCTTTATTGCATACGCTAAGCTGTGAGAGTATTTGGAGTCACACTCAGAATATAGGAATGTACTGAAAGAAAGATAGGTTCTTTACATTTTTTTTTTCCCCTGAAAGGAAATATATATTGCACTTTACAGTGTAAGAGAGTATATTTTTCCAATTTTCCGTAAACTGATTTTCTAATACACTCTTTTTTGCATCAATTTTTCATCAATCAATCTTTTTTTTCAATTAATAATATTCAGACATCCGAAAAGAATCTAATTTTATGTTCAATGAACAATAAGTTATTTTAAAAATATAACAGTCATATACCTTAAGAACAATATTGTGAACTCAACCCAAGTAACATCTTTCAATATTCAACAAACAAGGCGGTAATATTATATATATGTAATTAAGAGGGATTTTTTTATTAAACTATACAAGTAACATTTTGTTAATTATTGAACTTGGAAAGTATTTTATGTACCTCATACATTTAAACCATTATTGATAATCAATATATTTATCAAAAAAATGATTGTACAAGTGAATTAAAAAATTTTATAGCTCCCGGGGGTTGCTCTTTATAATTTTTGCAGGGGGGGGGTAAATAATGAATCTGTTTAAAAGACATAGTGATCATATTTCACTATGTTCATTAAAATAAAATAAATGGTCACTGTATCTTTCAAACTGGTTCATTAGTTATTACTAGTAAATTACTAAATGATTTGACAATCATATGCTCAAATAATATGTGAATTTAATTTCATAAAGATTAGTCTGAAACCCAAGTGGGCATGTGGATGAATAATCATAAAAATATTGTTTTAATAAACATATTTACCTGATAATAAATAATTCAACTGGGAACAGGAGAATTTAACCATTCCCTTGTCGGAACTGGAGCAACAGATCGTCCCAATGCCAGCTGAATATGCTAATCATTCACACCACAAGAGTACATGGGGAATTAAAAAAAAATTCTTTACATTTTTCGTTGTTTGGGTGCTACTGTTAAGTTAAATTTTGAGTCATATCCATAATATGAGAAATCAATGGGCTTATGTCAGAATTAAAACCAGAGATCTCTCATTTGCCACTTAGGATAACTACCAATCCCATATACAGTCAAAAGTCTTTAATCCGGACGTCCATAATACGGGAATTTCGATATGGTCTCAAAGTTCAAACTTCTTTAGATGAATTGTACGAGCGCATATGCATACGCATGCGATAATGTATAACGGACGGTTATAAGCTAAGCTAAAATGATTATCTATTTCAGTTAATGTCGCAGATTGCATTGTTCCTTAAATCTTCTAATTGGATCTGGCTTATTATTTTTTGCAGACTGTTAGAGCAATTTTATAAAAGTAAGCTTGAACTTTCGATTATGTCAAAAAGAATTTCCGATTATGGAGCTGTCAAAGGATCTACAAAGCGAAAGCATGTTGCGATGTCCATCAAAACAAAAAGTGGAATTGCTGCAAAAAATGGATAAAGGCATATCCTTTGTTTCTCTAACCATTCCGAAATCTGTTTATCAATTTCACGCTGCTCTGCGGGGGGGGAGGACGATCGGCGCAATGAACTGGAAGTTGATCTTGTCAGCACTATCCTTATCTTCAGGGCAGATGTTTTTATTTTATTCGGCTTATAACCTTACTAAATGTAGTATTTCAATCTCGATGTACTCCGTCTTTGATATGATTTAAATCAAATTCCTCGTCATTATAAATACCACGAATACACATCAAATAGTTTTCTGGTTGCAATTTTCTAATTTCGACTATGCTTTTAGGCATGCCGCATGTGCTTGAAAGAAATGTTTAATAAAGTAAACAAATAAATATTAAGCTTTTTTTTTTTTTTTTTTTGTAACCTTAGAAATAATTGCCTCATAAATTACGGTTAATATTTAATTGTTAATTTCTTCATGCCTTTACCAGATTTAAACTGATGATCTATAATCCGGTGGTGGTGCATTTAATTGCGGCAAAGCACACTAGGGCTATCTGCTGAAGGGGAGGGATGTCATCGTGGAGGACTTTCTAAGGGGAACTGGCTCCTATACACGTTACACATGGGAAAAACCACGAAAACACCCATGCAGCCAGCCCGTTCGCGGGATTCGAACCTTGGACCAAACTGCCAGTGTTCAGCGGCTTTACCGCT